CAGAGGTACTCCAATTATGACATCAATATAGTTTAACTAAACTCCATTTATAAAAAACCCTCTACTTTCTTCCATTCAGCCACTCTTCTATCCAATTAGCTAACTTATCTCCAACACCTATAGAGATTATCTTTTCACAAGCCTTTTATGTGGCACCTTCTCAAAGGCTTTCTGAAAAATCCAGATATACAAATCTACACTTTTACCCTCATCTACATAAGCAGTAACCTTTTCAAAGAATGTTAAAAGATTTATAAGGCAAGATTGTCTCTTCGTGAAACCATATTTACTATACAATAAAATTCTAAACTTTGTTAAATGATTTTGCAAAGCATCTCTTATCAGACTTTCCAAAACGTTTCCCACAACTGATGTAAGACTAATGGATCTATAATTACCGGAATAATTTTTATTCCCTCCCTTGAAAAGAGGGGTTACATTAGCTAACTTTCAATCTTTTGGCACCTGCCCACTATTCAAGGACTTAAAAAAAATAGTAGCAAGTGGCTTACATATCCAATCCTTAACCTCATTTAAAACCCTTTTTTGTTTCCATCTATCAACTGTTCAAGATGTGGAATACTGCTTCAATCTTTGTTAGTAAAAACTGAAGAAAAAGCAAAATTTAATATCCCAACCATCTTATAATCATCAGATACTAACCTTCCTTTATCATCCCTCAAGGGCCCTACCCCCCATCCTAACATTTTGTTTACCCTTAATGTATTTAAAGAAATCCTTACTTTTCTCGTACATCCTTTTTGATGTCCTACTTTCCTGCTTCACCAACTTTCTCGATCTTCTAAATCTACCATCATACCAGCAAATTTAAATTTCATAAACTTGTAATGCTTTTCTTTAATTTTATCAATGTTGAGGCTTAAGTGTTGTATCAAAAATAGAGCTGGGAGATTTAATCAGTTAATGTTATGAAAATAATCAACTAATCAACATTATGATTCACTGATTACTAGTTATTATTGCAACTATCAATTATTTGAAGTTATGATTCAATCATTTGTCATGAAAATAATCAAGTAATTGAAATTAAGGTTTATGATTATTTACTGTTTTAGACTATTTTAACTATTCAAGTGATCAAAATATTGCAATTATGTCTAATATAACATAATGTTTTGGGACAACATAGGTCCTATTGGTCCATCTCGGCTGCTCCATCCTCTGAACTAAATTAAAATAATTAAAAA